AGCTTTTTTAGGTTGTAATAGATAGTTGACGTTGGTATTTTTGTTGCTGCATGTATTTTTTTGGCAGAACGTATGCCTTGTCGTTGGTCACAGAAGATGATTGATGACCAAATAATTTCTGTATATGATTAATAGCGAAAAAATTTCCCAACGCGAAAGAAAATGTCATGTTTATCTTCTCCGAAAATTAGCTCGAGCAAGCTAAATAAGAAAAAAACAAAAATTTTTCGAATTTAATAAAGTTTTCTGATAAAAATTAGTTGGAAACGGAGCTTTGTTGAAATCTAAGGCCGAATTAAGTAATCCGGTCATTCATCAATAAAAAATGATAAAAATAAAAATGTTCACCTTTGAAAATTTCTATATGAGATGGAATCATACGTGTAAAAATTCATATTAATGACATAGTAAATGTGCAGATAATGAAGTATACAAGCTCAATACTTACTTGGTTATGCATATCTTAAGAATTTTGATTAGAAAAAGCTTTTGAACGTATAGTTTTTGGACAAAGCGATCTTGAGCAGTATGTTAAGGTCATCAGAAAGTAGAAACGTTGGAGGATAATGTTCTTTTGAGCAAAAGCATAAAAATGAAGTTTGCGTATAAAAAGCTGACAAAAAGTCTTTGTATGGTATTTGAAATCGGCCAAATATCTTGAAGTGATTCTATTAAATCTAACATGAAAAATATTTCTGAACAGCAAAATGATTGTAAATATTCACAGCTTTTTAACTCATTGTTTAGACACCTAATAAAACCAAATTTTCAAGCTATTTTACATTTTGAAACAATTTAAATAATTAAGGGAAACAGGCAGTATTGAACGTCGAAAAGGTAATGCATATCAAAAAATTATTGCAGAACACTTCAAGGCAATTGGTCGGTATATTAGGTGGGATCCTTTTATTCCCTCTTGTACAATGTCTACTAAATTATTAAACCAATGTATTGTTTTGAAACATATCGAAGACTCAACTTATAAAAAAGTTGACTGGTGCTCACTGGCACTATCAAGAAGAAAGCCGATGGACAAAATACATCTCCATAAAAATTATTATAAATTCCTCTAAAAAATTTCTATTAATTTGAATTTTCCAATTCATTTTCATTTTTAAAAACAGAATCAGATTTTTGCATTTTCAGTACTTTTTTATTTTTAAAGAATGAAAAGAATTGGATTTTTTTGTTTACCAGTTCACTTCTAAAATAATAGTATGATATAATTTCCTATTCTAATCCTAATCCAATTTTCTTTATTAATAACATAATAAATACTGGTAAACATTTTTAAAATTCAATACATCCAATTGATTTAGGTTAATAATTGAGTGAAAAAAAGTTACAAATTATATAATTTTTGAAGAGTATCAATATCTGATAGAAAATTCAAAATAAATATAAACAAATATAAAACTGGAAAATAACTTATATCTCAAAACTTCATTATATAACAATCTCTGTATTCTAACAAAAAAATTTTCTTGTGAAATTTTACAACACAAATAATGGAATGACTTTACATATTGTACTAATTTTCTCTTGAAATATTGATTAATAATAAAAATTAATTACTAATTAAACAAAATCAAATCATGTAGTTTAATAATGCATAAGCATATTTATTTAATTAGTGATTGATTTTCCATTAACAAATCAAAACTTTGGAAAGATATTAGCAAATACAGCGAGATATTTTGAATCTCGTCACTGTAATTTTTGAATCAATCAAAAAATCTGACCTGACCTGAAAAAACATTATTGTTTCAAATCATTTTGGATTTGGATTGAACCCAATCCGATTAATGTTCAACCTGAACTGAAATTTTGGTTCGGATCGGATTGTTCTAAAATCCAATCCAAACTGAGCTTTAGCTAATACATGAATCTATAAAAAGAATTACATGGATATTTATAACCTGCAAACGTTAACAATTATTACATCAATTTCAATCACAATAATCATACACCTTTTCTGGAATAAAGGACCTAATCATCAATCATTTAACAGAAATTCACAGGTCTCAGTGGTTAAAGGTAATTATATAAAAGTAGACAATATGTATGCGAGTAAGTCAATTATATAATGTAATGCTCTAAAGCACATTTTCTATACTCTTTCGCAATTGTTCTTTATTTGCATTTAGCTATATGATAATTTATTGATAAAAACTACTGGAAAAATTAGCGGAGAAAAATTATCGGGAAACAAAAAAATGGCGTATCAATGCCTTATTTAAGGGTTAAAAAAGTAATACCGATACATGTACTATGTTCTGCATAGAACTGTAACGGTAATAGCGATGGATTTAATACTTTGTTTAAATTTATGAATTAATAATAAATTAGGCAAGAACAAAGAACTTTTCTATTGTGTAAAACAGCAGAATATAAATAACGCTCAATCTCAAGAAAATTTGTTCATTCTTTACGCAAAAATTTTTAATCGAAGTGCTCATAAGTTTAAAAAACATACCGTAATTCGCCGAGCAAAATATCTCGATTTCTTACATTCCATGGGAAAAGTTACATTTTTATGCTGTCGGCCCCTTAACGAAAGAATTATCTGCTTTGAATCACAAATCATTGTGTTTTTGAATTAGCAGCATATGAACTTATGAAATGCTATATTTTTATTCTGTATAATAAATTCGGCCACTAAACGAATTATTATAAATTGAGACATACTTGAAAGCGAAACCCACAAGCATCAAACCAAAAAATTGAAGGATGTGCACTGCCTTTGTTATTGATGATTTGGATGTGGCTAGTTTTGAAGTTCCTTTTCCTCCTGATCCATCAGTAGAAGACTTTAAACCAAAAGAAAATGGTGAGATGCCGACCAAGCGTAACAAATTTTTTATATACCGCTCTTACGTAAATAAAATGTTGAAGAGTAGAGGTATCAAATTGAAGGGTGGCGGTCAAAAGCTTAGTACATTTACGAAGATGCTTTAGGAAAATGAACCTGAAGATCGAAAAAAATATTATGGGGAAATAGCAAAAAAGCTTTGGAATGCTCAGCTATTAGAATCACAAGGAGTTAACCAACAAATTTTGCGATAAGAATATTTTCTTTCGTACTTAAAACACAAATCAACAACTGATGGATTGAATGGATGTTTACAATCAATCAACGAATTCGACGAAGTTTAAACTCTGCTGAATATAACCAAATCTCTGCCGTATTCTTCGAACTCCCTTGGGTTTGACTAGAGGTACCATCAAACATCAAGTTTGACCTAGCAAAAGAAGAATAAAATATATTGTTAATAATATTAATAAAAGTCCAAAAATAAACTGCGTCCAAATTGAACAATTAGTAGATTTGGATTTATTTGAACACGCCTCAATATTTTATTTTTATTTATTTTTTTCTGACTGTTTTTCTATTTTAATCTATTAATACGCATATTAAATAATAATAGCACATTGTTTGGAACGAAGCTTGTATAATGTTTGGTGTATTTGGAACAGTGTTCTAACTATTTGGTATGGTAATTTGACCATTTGGTACATTACTTTGGTCATTTGGTACAGAATTAGACCATTTCAATCACTTCGTAGTAATAGAATAGTTTCTAGCTCTTTGCAAATGTTCCGAACATAGACAGAAACACAGACCAAACTTGTGTTGAATTGGCGATGCAATATAGATGCTCTTGAGTATTTAATCAAAACAAGTTATAATAAAGCACAAAGTAATTGAAACAGTATTACCTTTACCAGAGGAAAGTCATTATTGTATTAATTCTCTTGTAAAATAGTTAAACATAAAGAAGCTCTATTCAATCATATATCTTGTGACTCTGTGAAGTTTGATCTATAAAACTTAAAGAAAACTATAGTTAAGATAATTCCATTTTCTCTTCCTAAATCATTCTTTATAATAAGATCAACTCTCCTTTACCATCCACTTAACTGTATTTACTGGCACAATATCTTTAGAATCTAACTAAAGATATCATTTTCATTAAAGAAATTTCAGTCTAATCTTTCACAAACCTGTTCATCTTTATAATTTAATAGATCAGATAGATGTAATAATCATTATATATAGTATATTATTACTATAGTAATATTAAATTGTATAATTTCTTAATTTTTCATTAAAATTCTTTAAGAGAATATATTGATATCAATTTTAGAAAAATTATATTTAAGTAATTATTGTTAAAATAAGAATATATGATATTTTAGAAAGAGAAAGTTGTAGAATAACTTAGAAATATCTTATATTATATATAAATATTATAAAATCAGATAATTATTATTTGCAGATTATTTATTTAATTTTATGTGAAAATGAAGATAGAACTTTATAATCAAATTAATATTATAAAACAAAATTAACGTTAAATATCATCAACGCTTCGAATTATTATTAATTCAATAAAAATGAAATCTTTTCCCCTTTATTTGGTTCGTCTGACCCGTTTTCAATAGAACGTTTATTATTCGTTTTACAATCTTATGAAATTTAAGTTTAAAATATAATTACCATCATAGTCGTCATTAACGAAACACGAAAATTAGAATCAAACTGATAAATTTACCTTCATTTGCTTCGTTTTGAACATATAAACTCATATTTTTAGATTTGGTTATCGATATCTATACCATATTCTATAGTTACATATTCTAGAGTTATATGTAAATAAGATTTAACTTTAATATAATATTTAATAAAAATAACATGTTGTATACAACAATACATAGTGATTTTTCCTTCATTTGGAACATATAAATTAACACTTGTAGAACCTAAATTATTGATATATTTAAATTAATCCGAATTGTCATTTCAAGCGAATGTAACAACAAATGTGTGTATCTGGGATTGATAGTGATTTTGAACTAAAAATTCGATTAGTGTAAATTGCATTTGAGTGGACTTGTTGTTTTTTGTTTATATTCGTAATAATTTATTGTGACTTCATCTTTTATCAAATTCATCTAATCTCTGCTTTTCTAGTCTATCTAACATACCCTTTAATTTCCTCATCTGTTTTAGGATATTCCAAAGAGCTGTAGGTACTGAAAAATGCAAAGTATTCAATTTCCACTTAAACTTGCCGTGGATAGACCGAATAAAGTGGTAAATTTCCTCAGCAGTTGGTCTGTTTCCTGGAATAGGATCCCAACATTTTTCAACAATAAATTTACAACATCCGGGAATAGTATTTGGCACCATAGGTCGTACACCTTATAGATGTCTAAGACAAGATGTATATCATGACTTCGTTCACCAAATGGTCTGCCACCACCTACAATCTCGTACATGACCATTCCGAAACTATAAATATCTGCAGCTTTAGTGTATGGCCTTTCTCTGGACTCACATTTGGAAGTACACCGTAAATTTCTTGATTGGATTTTTTCTATCTGCTGGACTGGTAAGTCCAAAATCTGCAATTTGGGCTATTTTAAAAATAATATATTTCCAAGGTGAAAAGTCTCGATGTACAACCTTTTCTTTGTAAATTTTTCTAAGGTTATTGATAATTTGATGTAAGCAATTTAATTTTCGAATCCAATTCTTCTAATTAATATATCTGCGAAGATCGCCTTTTTCAGCATATTGAGTATTCATTTGTAACAAAAATTTTCTGTTATTCCATAATAATCAATATAACCACTATTATTGCATTTAACTGCAATATGAATCTATTTTTGAAAAACTTGATTATATTAATAACAAAAACTAACTTTCACTTAAAAATGTTCATTTTTACCTCGTTATGAACTCATGAGTAGTTTCTTTGAATTCTTTTAATGATTTTTTCTCTTCGTTTAGATTTACTTTCTTGATGATCCCAGGAAGAGAAATATCTGTCCTTTTACACTACTCCATCCAACAAGGTTATTTTATAAATTGACTCAAAACCTCCTTTTACAAGATACACAACGTTAGTAAATCTTTCAAAAGGAATCCGTTCGAATATTTATTTCATATTTAATTGTTTTACTTACACTCTTTTATTAAATTTTCGAAATCTTTATCTCCGCTACTCAATTCAACGTTATTTCGCTTGTGATATTGAAACAGTCATTGCAGTCATAATAATTTTTTTGACGTTAAGTACATTTACTGCAATCATGAGTATTTTTGAGTTCACTTTATATTTGTGAAATTCACCGTAGAATACATCAGTCATTACTATTGAGAATTCATTTGTAAGTGGATTTTTAATCATTCCATAATATGCTATTAAGCTGCCGTAATTAAAGCAATTAAGCCCAGTTTGAACTATTTTCAAAAAATTTTGATTGTATTAGAAAAAAGCAACTTTCATTTTAGAAAATGTTTATTTTTACCTCGTGTATAAACTCTTGAGTGATTTGCTTTAAATTGTGTAATGATTTTACCACAATTTTCCATTCTCCTCTTCGTTCAAATTTATTTTCTTCACTATTCTTCATCATAATATAATGGACCATCCAATTGACCCAAAACCTCCTTTTGCAAGATATTCATTCAACGTTAGTAAATCTTTCAAAAGGAATCTATTAGAATATATTTTCATATTTATAATTAATTTTGCTGCATTCTTTTATTAGACTATCGATATCTTTAAACAATTCATCGTTATAAATTCGTTTGTGATATTTGAAACAGTTATTGCAACTTGTCATTCAGCACATTTACTACAATCATGAGTATTTGATTCAATTTTTGAGTTCACTTTATAAATACGTGAATTGGTTGAAATTATAGATAAAGAACGAGATAACATGTACATGTACATTGATTGATACACCGTCGCATGAAATGCTATGTCACAGGGATAAATCGCAGCTCACGCGGTATCGCCGATCTCGTGGTTAGTGATAATAGTAAATAAACGGCGTTTAGTGATGTTAGTAAAGCGCATGAATAAGGTGATATTTGGGGAACCAGTCTAAGCCATCACGTTGGAACGAAATGGTCTGAGAGGAATGCACCAATGGTTGCCGACTAATGAATCAGAGCGAGAATGATTCATTAGTCCATATTATGATGGACTAGATGAGGACGATTACAATATAAAAGTAACTCGTCGCAAAGTAGAATAGACATCACCATTATTATAATTATCATCCTAAAAATGGATTAATTATGTTCCTTTATCATAATGATCATCCTAAAAATGGATTAATTATGTTCCTTTATCATAATGATCCTATTCAAGAAGTATTAACTAACATAGTGCCGTAACCGAAGAATTACGACCAATTGAAGAAGATGTTGATTGAGTAGTTTACAGAGAGATTATGAAAGTAATAATATTCGAAGTATTGTGATTAAGGATTATCTTGGTTTACCCTCCATTTCTGATTCACTGGGTAACAATATGTACAGTCATTACAAAAAGTAACATCAAATTTGTATGTGTAATAATATGAACAAATATATATGTATCATATTTTTTCACATTTTGTTATTTTGATCCTTATTTTCTTCTTTTACTTTTAAACATACATTACCAGTTAATCATCTTTGACAAGAATAAAAATATGGTGTGGGAAATCTTAACTAGATAATCACGTGACTTTGTTTCAAATTCCGGTAACTCTTCATTCCAAAACATTGTTATATAGTCAACCAATAAAATCGCGTTATCTCAGTCATATATAGCATTAGTACATTATAATATCATTAATAAATTATAATGTCAATAAGAGATACTAAATATTTTTAAGTATGATATTATTAATAAATTAAAGATATATAGCCAAGTCAAAGATTATTAATATAGTATATTATGTATTTATTTTTTTCTTTCTTCTCTTGCTTATCAAAAAAAATCAAAAACTATTCTTTTATTCTCTTAATTATCCTGATCCTATCATTTCTCTTTTCTTATTGCTCTTTTAATATTTTCAAATATATGATAATGAGATTTAAACTTATTTATAATCCACTTGACAGCTTTATCCTTTGAATTCTTATCATATACATCTATATATCTTTATGATTTGTAAGCAAATTTGCAAATTATTATTACAGAAATACTAATAAGAGTTTCTAAAACTTTTTTCAATAATTATAGTTGTATGATTATCTATTTTACAAAATTCTAATA